TAAATATGTAATGAGGGGATGAATTGAGAAGTGAGGGAGAGACAGAGGGGATACGAAGAGAGTAAACAGATGAGTGTGGCAACATGAGAGACAAAGGAGGAGGAATTGACTCAAGAATATGAAGGACGTACGTGAGGATCAGGAGATAGCAATGAAGATATGATTGAGAAAGTAATGAGAGAAGAGGGAAGAGAAGGGGGAAGAGAAAACAAATGAGAAATGAGAATTTCAAATAAGAGGAAGCAGGTGTAGTCAAGGTGAAAAACGAATAAGCAAGAAGGCGAATAAGAGGAATAAATAAGGAGAATAAGCAGAAAGATGAATATTCAAGCCTAAAAAATGAGATGAATAAACAAGGATAATAAGCAGGAAGACGAATAAGCAAGTAGATAAAAAAACAAGAAGATGAATAAGCAAGAAAATGAATAAGCAAGAAGATGAATAAACAAGGAGAATAATAACCAGTGAAATAAGCAGACGGATCAAACACTAAGTTTTTTCCCCACAAATAGCACACACACTTATAAAAGATGAAGCAACATTTCGCCGTGTCCTGGACTTGATAATGGTTCAAAACAGGCCGAAACACCGTCTAGAGTTTCCTCTCCAACTCGACACAGTTACCACCTTAGCAATGTGTTTTTACGCCAGCCAGTACTTATAGCGGTCACCGTCTAAGGTACTTTTTAAATGTTATTACTCCATGTTGTCAGCAACTTTTGGGGGGAAAGAGAAATATATATAGAGAGAGAGAGAGATAAAAATTTCACCTTGTTTACCGGTGAAGAGTAAAGCGAATGGCAGCCACAGCGCAGCAACCCAGGAAACCCAATTAAAATTGAAAAATTGAGTTTATATGTATGTGTGTTATCGAAAAAAAAGAGAGTTCCAAAATGATACGGGGAAAAAATCAAATAAACGTATATTTAGAGCTTCAAAAATGTCCAATATCTGTGCTGGGATTTATACGTTTTTTTTTTTTTTGGCGTTAAGTAAATACTGAGAAAAAGTTTTTCTTTTTTTTAAATTAGAAAATTAAATAAACCATTAGTATTTTTTTTTTTGGGGGGGGGGAGTGAATAAACGTGTTTTGGTGTATGATTTTGTGGGAAGGTATGTTAGATTGTGAACACGGAGTGTTCAGAATATATAAAACACTGAATGAAATAAATTGTGAAACTAAACACGTATACTAGTATGCAAAAACACCAATGTCCAAAAATAGTGAACTTCCAAGCGCTTTCGTGATTTCTCACATAATCAAGGATCTGTGAAAATAATAGAACAGCAGAAGGTTTATAAGACTGAAATATCACCTCACATACGACATTACTCCCATTCCAGTATGATGGGGTGGGAGTGTCAAGGACACTCCCACCTCGCATCAAACTGGTGTATTGTGAGGTTATATCTCAGCCTTATAAACCTTCTGCTGTACTGTTACTTTCACAGTTCCTACATAATGTGAGAAATCACGTAAGCGCTTGGAAATTCACTATTTTTTCATAGTGGTTATTGGGCATATTATATCACGTGCTTACTACTGTCATCTTATTGCATATTCTAATGTATATAAAAATACCAGTGAAAATAGGAAAAATACCTGAGCGCATTCATGTGCCTTCACACATGTCTGAACATGTGTGTGTGTGTGTGTGTGTGTGTGTGTGTGTGTGTGTGTGTGTGTGTGTGTGTGTGTGTGAGCACATGAAAGCCCTCAGGTGTTTTATCCTTTTTTGACTGTAGTATTTTCATATATTTGCTACCATTCGTTCATTGTGATTTATTCCATATTAATATATAAACGCTCACAGGAAAAATATACATCACATATTTAATAAGAAAAATTCGTGTGTCAGCCATCTAATTCAATCCCAAGAGTTGCAATTGACGTTATTCCGTGTTTTTATTTACCGAAAAGTGGCTTAAGTCAATCCTCAAGGGAACAGAAGCGTGTCCTTTCGCAAATGAACTGTTCTGACTGCCGTGGTAACAAGCTCCCTAATTACTCCAACTGCTGTTGAGGAAACTTTCCGATATTGCTGTTGGGTTAATGGCTAGTTTCTTCAGTGACTTTTTTTTTTCGTTCTAATTTTTTTTTCCTTACACTACGGGATTCACTTGAATAAGAGGCGCCTGAGTTTCCCTGCCTCCTAATATCGTGTTTATTTTTTCCCTATAATGTACCTTGTCTATAATTACTATCGTATTGGCTTTGTTTGCTTTCGTAAGGTGAAGTCCAGGATCTTTCCTTAATTCATAGTATAACTTAACAGAGATTTGAGGACAATTGTGTTACAGAGGTTTGAGTTTTACAACACAGCTGTCCTCAACAATTTAAGTTATACCATGAATTAAGGAAAGATCCTGGACTTCACCTTACGAAACAAAGTAAATGTGATAATAATTATGGACAAGGTAGATTATAGTGGAAAAATAACATTAGAAAACCAGGAAACTGACGCGCCCCTTAAAGGTGTAAGTTCGTCTCGATAATACACGATAATCCATAATCTGACCTTTGGATTATTTATTATTATAATCAAGGGGAAGCGCTAAACCCGGAGGATTATACAGCGCCTGGGGGGGATGTGGAAGGCATTCAGGCTAATTCCCTAAATCAAGAGCCCCTCACCAATATCAAGGAACCTTCCTTGAGGGGTGTGACCTTTGGAGATCGTACTTCTCACCAGAAAATGATTATAATAACCATTACGTTTTTAAGGGGGTGGACCGGTAAGCCAGCCCAAGGCCTCGGTCTGATGACAAAAAGCTCCGGTGGCGGGTCATCATATGACTATGACCTGCGTCAGGAAACACTTGTCCTGTTTCCTGAGAAACCTTACCTAAGATGACCTCGGTGTGGACTTGTAAGTCCTCTGTTATGTCTTCCTCGTGCAATCCCATTTACTCCCATATACCATTTCGAAAGGGAATTGAATTCCAAGCAATTTCGTGATCTCTTGTATTCTCTAAAATGCCGGGAGCAAGAGGCTAGTAACCCCTTCACCTGTATAAATTACTAAAATTAAGAGAAACTTTATGAAGCTGATGATGAAAGTGTTTCTTCTATTTTCGGGTCACACGGACTTGGTGAAACACGGCCGTGTTAATAAAAAAAAACTTGTTTCTTGAACTATTCTCGCGTGATTAAGGATACGAACTTGTACAGTGTTTTACAAGGTAGGAAATGTTATTTTACCTCAAGAACAAAAAGGCATAACACAGTGACTGGAACAATACACAAATAACCCGTACATAGAAGACAGGAGTTTACGACGACATTTCGGTCCGACTTGGACCATATGCAAAGTCACACTGACTGTAAATGGTCCAAGTCGGACCGAAACATCGTCATAAGCTCCTCTCTCCTATGTGCGTATTTGTTGTGCATTGTTTTACCTCAGTTCATATTAAAACCTGTTACTAGTAACAGCTTTAATATTAAATTATTTCATATATGTGATTTTTGTTTAATATATTCATATAGAACAACATTCCAAAGTTTTCCGAAGATCCTTCGTAGGTTTAGCCCATGACACGCAAATATTATATATATATATATTATATATATATATATATATATATATATATATATATATCGTGCCGAATAGGCAGAACTTGCCATCTTGGCTTAAATAGCAACGCTCATCTTGCCATATAGGACAAGCGAAAATTTGTGTATGCAATAATTTCGCCAAAATCATTCAGAACCTAACGAAAAAAATATATTTCACTGTGTTTTAGTATTAAATTATTGTAAACAAATCTAAAATATATTTAGTTGGGTTAGGCTAAAATGAATTGTTCTTGTTATAATAAGGTTAGGTAAGTTTTCTAAGATTCTTTTGGTGCAAAATTATTAATTTTTACATCAGCATTAATGAAAAAAATATATCTTTAAACGTATAAGAGAAAATTTCAGAAAGGACTTAATTTTAAATGAGTTCTTGCTAATTGACCAGTTTTACATATTCGGCACGACATATATATATATATATATATATATATATATATATATATATATGTGCAATAAGATCACAGTAAACAGGTGATGTGAGTGTGTGTAACACTAAGGACCCTCATCCTAAGAGAAGAGAATAAACGTACTTCAGTGAAAACTCAGGTTTCTCCCCGAAGAGAGACAGAGTAGGTGATGCTGTAACCGTCTGTAAGTTGAAACTTTTATCTGGTGAGTTGGTTTGTTTTCTCGAATGTTTATTTTGAAAATATGATAACTGCCCGTCGTGTGTTTTAAGAATTTTCTTTTGGTTACTCGCAAATATGAGCCAAGTGCGATATTTGTAGAATATCGAATTTGTATGTAACAGTAAGGTTATCAACATATCTTCAGCGCCGGGTCGAGCACGGAGATGAGTCGTTTTGCACATTTCTATACAAACCACAGAGGGGGTGGGACTCGAACCCCTGGCAGGCGAGTTATTACGATTTCCTGAGTGATGTTTCTTTACTTTGTCCAAAAGTAATAAATGAGAAATAGAGCAGAAGGACTAAGAATGTGGTGCATACTAAAAGCGAGACCGAAACTGGGCCTGGTTTTGAGTTTTGCAGTCTCTTCTGCCAGATAAAATGACTCGGTCTTCACAATAAGCTTTTATGGGAGACAACATCAGTGTGTGTGTGTGTGTGTGTGTGTGTATGTATGTAAGTCATGACTTACACTCACACACACACACTCACACTCACACTCACACTCACACACACACACACTCACACTCACTCACACTCACACTCACACACACACACACACACACACACACACACACACACACACACACACACACACACACACACACACACACACACTCACACACACAAGGAAACATTGTCCCAATAAAAGCTCATTCACAGTAGCGTGTGTCACTAAGTCATTATTAAATGTTTTGCTACCTGGCAGGCGTGTTGATCTTTGTCTCATGAACATGTAAGATGACAAGTAAATCTTACAACCTTCTACTTACCTTTCAGTATACACATACCTTTACTGTTCTTTTGTGCTTCTTAATAGTTCTTAATCCTTTGATATTTCCTGTCCAAACTAGAAGCCCTGGTCTGAGACCGTTCCGTGGAGAAGATAATTCCCAAAAATTACTAAGAGGTAGCTCTGCAAACTTCTTGGCTTCCCCGTCTGCAAGATTTACCTCATTATTCTTCAACGTCATTGCGGAATCCTGTTCCAGTCCCGGGCAGCTAAAACTTATCCTTTCTGACGCCTAATTTACCAGTGACAGATTGCTCTCTAGATAAGACAATTACAAGCTGTAATCTGTTGTGTGAAGCAGAGACAGTAGCAATATACTGATTGATTTGCCTGAGGGTAGTAGCCATCTCCAGTCTCTGATTTGATGTGGAATTCGAGGATGAGGTGAAGTAGGTCTTTCAGTAGTCATTCCATAGTAATAGACCACTAAAGTTCGGTATTGAGAGAGAGAGAGAGAGAGAGAGAGAGAGAGAGAGAGAGAGAGAGAGAGAGAGGGAGACAGGTGGTTTAGAGGGATGGTTTGATGGGATAGTTTAAAGAAACTCATTGCACTATCTGACTGTCAGTATAGTGTTTGTGTGTCGTCACTTGGTAACAAGGATGGGCTACCAGTAAATTATTACTTAGTAATTCATGTTAGTTCAGTTTCATATTCTTATTTCTTAGTGATATTCTTTTTCTGATTATTATTAACTTCTCATATTTCTTTTTCTCCTTCTCCTTCTTCCAATTCCGTGGATCAAGTATCCTTCACCAGATTCAAGAGTAAACAAACAACTCCTTCTTTCCCCCCATGAAAAAATTACCATTGAATTTAAAAGAAAATTACAGAACTACCATTTCCTCCTCCCCTCCCCCCCCTCACAAAAATAAGCGAGTGTGTAAACAATTCCACAATTTAATCCCGCAGTAACAGAAAATATCGACCACGTTAAACAATTCCACAATTTAATCCCGCAGTAACAGAAAATATCGACCACGTTAAAAAATTCCACAATTTTTTCCCACTGTAATACGTGATCGAATGCAGTAAACAGACCCACAGTTTCCCTTCCCCCCACAAGATCAGAAGCAAACAAAATATGGAAAAAAAAAAAACACAATCCCAAAAATTCAATGTATAAGAAAAGAAAATCATACAAAACCCAGTCTCTTACCCATCTTCCCCACACATAAAAAATATCAAGCCAGGTCCTGCCTCCTCACCTGTGGGTGAGAGGTGATGAGGAGGGTCTGTGGTGGTGAGGATATAACCCACTGTGGAGAGTGTACCACAGTGGTAACACAGTGGGGAGTAACGCAGTAGCGCAGTGAGGAGTAACACAGCGAGGGAGTGATACAGTGGGGAGTAGCACAGTAGCACAGTGAGGAGTAACACAGTAGGGGAGTGACACAGTGGGGAGTAGCACAGTAGCACAGTGAGGAGTAACACAGGGGAATGACACAGTGGGGGAGTGACACAGTGGGGAGTAACACAGTGGGGAGTAACACAGTGGGGAGTGACACAGTGAAGGGTAACACAATGGGGAGTGACACAGTGAAGGGTAACACAGTGGGGAGTGACACAGTGAAGGGTAACACAGTGGGGAGTAGTACAGTGGGGCGTCTACCACAGCTACACAATAGAAAAATATGAATTAATGAAGGAAGTCGTCAGGTTGGAGTGGGGTGCTGGCTGAGGTGAGAGTAGGGGAAGGGGTGAGAGTAGAGGAAGTGGAAGATGAAAGAGGAAGAGGAGGAAGAAGAGAAGGAAGAAAAAAAAGAAATAGGTGGCAAGAAATGAGTGAGGATATGAAGGGTAAAACAAGAGTTAGGTATAATTTTTTAACGAGAGAGAGAGAGAGAGAGAGAGAGAGTAGTAGTCATAGATCACAGAACACATAAGAATTAAGCTAATAATAATAATAATAATAATAATAATAATAATCAACATACTGACTTTCTGCCGTTCAGCGTGTGAAAAAGACTTTCATAGTACGTGCTATTCACTTGTGGCTGTGCCTTGTACAAAGGCAGAAACCTAAAAATCGCTAACCTTACCTTGAAGCTGTCACAAAAAAAATCATGAAAGGAAAAAAATATGGATGTAATTACCTGAAAAATAAGCATGACTCTCACCGAGAGTATTCCTTGGCAACCACCAGCTTAACTAATTGCCAATGGCAGTTAGGGAAATCGGTTTAATAAGCTATCATTATATTTTACCGCTTTGAAAATGGCTTTTCCTTGCAAAGACAGGTTGTTATAATACCTAAAAAATATATTGCGCTAACACTGCTTAATAGTAATAATAATAATAATAATAATAATAATAATAATAATAATAATAATAATAATAATAATAATGAGGAGTGGGGATGTAGTTCAGAGGGTCATCTGAAGTATGTCAGCACACTTCTGGCAAGACAGTGATTGAATGAATGATGGTGAATGTGTTTTCTCTTTCTGGGTTATTCCAGCTCGGTAGAAGCAGGCCAGTATGTTAAATATTATTATTATTGTTATTAGCCTAATTCTTATGTGATGTGTGGTTTATGACTACTACTACTACTACTCTCTCTCTCTGTCTCTCTCTCTCTCTCTCTTTACACAGGGTTTGACAAGGTTAAGGATCCCTAGCTTTACTGACAAGCTATTTACAGGTTAAGGATTCCTAACTTTATTGGCAAGCTAAGAGCTGTTACCTACATCTCATTTGAAAGCATTTTTGTTATGAGACATGCAAGTAGGGAACAGGATGAAGTTGGAGCCATCTGTGGGCCAGCATTTTCATTTGATCAACTGACTTTATCTCGTTGACATAATTATGCTGTACGAATATGTTCCATACACGAGTCATCCTGGGTATATATGATCTCAGATGGAGTGATGTTCTGGAGAAGGGTACAGCCAGAGTGAAGTTGCTGCTTTCTGCCCGTCTTGTGGCATAAAAGCTTGTTTCACGCTGACCTCGAAGTGGATCCAAGTGTGGTACTTTGACAATATTGGCCTTGTGCATAACAGTAAGGCCACCCACATCCCTCCTGTGTTGAAGGCTCTGCTGAAATGACAGATCTATCCAGGATGGGTTCAGGCGAGAGATGAGACGTCTTGCTTTGTTCTCTACTCTGTCAAGCAGTCGCAGATGAGAGGAGGGGGGGGGGGCGGCAAACCAAGAAAATGGAGCATACTCAATGTGTGAGCGTACTTGTGCCTCGTACAGAATCTTGCAACCCCTACTGTCAAGCAGATGCGAGATACGGCGAAGTACTCTAAGCTTCCTGGCTGCCTTGTTTGCAAGATTTACAACATGGTTCTTCATAGTTTGGAGTCAAATTTCACCCCAAGGATATCAACTTCTTCTCCAGGTGCCAACACCCTCCCATTCATCCTTACTACTGCACCAGCATTACCATCATGGTGCCTAGAGACGATCATCATTTGCGTTTTCTCAGGTGCAAATGTTACTTGCCATCTATTTCCCCAAGCTGATATAGCTCTTAGCTGGTGATTGATGTAGCTTAGAGCAGCTAGCATTTCTTCTCTTGGATAAGTGGATAAGTGAATGTCAGTGTACAGTCGTCTGCATATGCATGTGATTCTGGGATGAGATGAAGAAGGTCGTTGAAGTAGACATTCCATAACAATGGTCCCAGCACGCTTCCTTGTGGAACACTTGCCCCAATAGGATGTCTTGCTGATTCCGTTCCATTGAGAACTACACTTAGTGATCTACCATGAAGGTAATCACTGAGGAGACGTAGTGTAGAGCCTGCAATTCCCAGTGCTTGAAGTTTTGCTAAGAGGCCCTGGTGCCACACCCGGTCGAAAGCGCCAGCAGTGTCTCTCTCTCTCTATCTATCTATCTATCTCAGTCTCGTTAAAAATTTATACCTAACTCTTGTTTTTACCTTCATATCCTCACTCATTTCTTACCACAGAAACTCGCTGTTACTTAACCACCCAAAGTACAACTAAACAAGTCTTGGGTAAATATATGGGTTAAACGACAAGCTTTGTAAATACTAAAAGATAAACGATAGCCCTTGTGTAGATACATGGGTTAAACGACAATGGTTCCTTGTGTAAATACGAAGATATAAACTAGGAGCCTTGCATAAATAACAGAGCTAAACGACAACCTTGTGTAAATATTGAAACTAAACGACAAGTCTTTAAGTAAATTCGTTAAACGACGTTGAACACACACTCCTAAACACCCAAAGAAACAATAGATAAAAATAGTTTTGAAAACAATTGAAATCAGTTTCAAACAATTTAAATCAATTTTGTAAATAAATCAGTTTTGGAAACAATTTAAATCTGCATTGCAAAAAATTTAAGTCATTTTTGTAAGCAATTAAAGTCGGTTCGAAAAATAACTTAAATCAGTTTTGCAAACATTTAGACCAGTTTCGTAAACAATTTAAATCAGCTATTTAATGCTGGAACCTGTGTAACAATGCTGAAAATTATATTGTGACTAATGCCGAACCTCTGCAGCATTTGCTGGCACTGATAAACTAACCTTTGGATAAAAATATCCTAGAGGATTCGAGAGATTCTTTAAGAATACCAGATTCCATACGATACCAGTGGTTCCCAGTGTATAACAGGATTCTATACGATACCAGTTAGTCAGCATCAGAAGATTTCATTGCATACCAGAGAACTCTTTAAAATACCAAACTATAGGAAAATCCCACAAGATACTATTGGATTCCATGGGGTACCAGATGATCCCAGGGATGACAGATGATCCCAAAGGATACTTGATGATCTCAGAGGATCCTAGAGGATACTAGATGATCTCATAAATCTATATGATCCAATGAATGCCAGATAATCCCAGAGGATACCAGATATCAAAGTATACTGGATGATTCCAAATGATACCAGATGATCCCAAATGAGCAAAAAAGGGTCTCATATAAAACCAAAGAATCCCAGAGGACCCCAGATGAGCACAAAGGACCCTAGAGGATGCCAAAAGTATCCCAAACAAACTCAAAGGATCTCAGATTAAAAAAAGAAACAGGTTCTCCGAGGATCCCAGAAGCACCAGCGCTCGGCAATTCCACAAAAACCACAGGACTGACTTGAGTTGTAATCAGGTGTGAGGAACACAAGAACCATCACACTCTGAGTGGCTGAGGGCACAAAACCCACCAGCAACACTGAGTGGCCGAGAGCTAGAAAAAA